TACTAGCCAGAAACAGTGATACATGCGTGTAGTCCCAGAACTCTGGGAGGCTGAGGAGGGTCACAAGTTTAAGCCCAGCCTGGGCAACTTAGTGATTTAGCAAAACTGTCTCAAAATAAAAACTAAAAAGGTGCTGGTATGTAGATCAGTGTGAAGGCTCTGGGTTTAATCCCCAGTACTGAAAGAAAGAAAAAAAGAATGAAAGAAGGAAGGAAAAAAAAATATTGAGGAGTTCTTATATTTCGGAGATACATACTTAAATATTTATGAATAAAGTCATAATGGAGAATCATACGAAAATAGATTAAATAAGTTTGAGGGTGACTTGAGAATTGTTAAATTTGAATGATGGGTGCAGCGGAGTTAATTATATACCACTTCACTTTTGCATATGTTTAAATTTTTCTAAAATAAAAAGTTGCCTTTTAAAAAGATACATATTCTAGAGTTTGTTATTCAAATGTTATTAAAATTCATATTGCCTTGTTATCAACATGGTAGTGTTGGTCTGATGTTTCAGGTGGGCTGTGGAAGCCCAGCAGGTGGACACATTGCCCATCCATCTGGAGCTTTCATGCATGTGGCATGGGAGAAGCAAGCTCAGAGACAGAGACTGGTATAGATGTTTGGGGCTACATAGAAACAAGCAGAAAACCTTATACATGACTTTGAGTTACACTGAGACCCAGGAAAAAAGGAGCTGGAAGGGGAGGAAGCAGTTTTCTGGCATATCCACAGAGCAAGGGACAGTGTGTATGTCAGAGACCCAAGTAACTGAGCACCTTGCAATGAGCACCATTGGATGTTTACCTCATGATCCTGGTGAGCTCAAATATGTCACCATACATGAAGTTAGGACACAGCTTTAAGCATAAAATCCTGTGTGCAAGGAAGGAGATGGGAATTGTTGTTGTCAGGGCTCTTTGGATTGGGGTGGCATGAGTTTACAGCACACCCAATGTGCTGCACAACTGACATTTGTCCCTACCTCAAATGCCCTTCTGCCCACTCTATGGCCCCTTCCCTTACCTGAGCTTTCCTCTTGCGTCAAGTCAGTCTCATTCAGGACCCTTTACGATTATTCAAATTCTCGGTCATTCCTCCCACATCTCATCTCCCATAACACTCACTGTTTGCAGCATTCATTTGGCATTTGTCGCATATTACTTTAATTTGTACACACTTTACCTATGCACATTTTTCATCAGACCATAAGAGCCAAGAGAGAAGAGACGATATCTGATTTGTTTACCACCTGACTTATCACATGGAGCCCAGTACACAGGGCCCAGTACAAATGCCAGGGGCATTTTAGAGGGAAATAGAATTCAAAGTCAGAACTCCTATGCTTTAGTCCTGGTTCTGCATTTCATTAGAGGTCCAACCTGTTAAGTGAATAACAGGTGACTTAACTTCTCTAGGCCTCAATTTCCTCCTAAGGAGAAAAAAATGGTTTGCAATAGTACCACATTAAATAATGAATATGAAATCACTTTGTATGGCATTATTCAGATTTAGCCTACTACTCATTCAATTCTTTTGGTTCTTTCCTCTGTCTTACCAAGTATAGTGGTCTCTCAGTGTCCACAGGAGACTTGTTCCAAGACCCCCATGGTTACCAGAATCTGAAGGTGTTCAAATCCCTTATATAAAATGGCACGATATTTGCATACAGCCTATGTGCATCCTCCTGCATTTCTCACTTACTTATAATACTTAATTCAATGTAAATGCTATGGAAATAGTTGCCATACTGTATTATGGAATAACAACAAGAAAGAAGTCTGTAAACATGTTCAATACAGATACAATTTTTTTCTGTATATTTCCAACTTGTAGTTGCTTGAACCCACAGATGCAGAATCTGTTATGGAAGGTCAACTTCATATTATACCACATCTATATTGTGCCCCCAGCAGCACACTGCTTATAGAGTTCAAGAAATATTTACTTTTCTTGATAATTTTGCCAGCAATAGTGATGCTGAGGATGATTGATAACAACTGTTGATGAAGAAGACTTACTGGTCACCTAATGGCCAGAAAACCAAATTTTTAGATTTCAATGCACCCTTAAGCTATGTGCTTTCTCCCCATCTTCTTTCTGATGCACGGGGTGAGGGTGTAATGAACCCTCTAGTCTAGCAGAGGGCCCTTTAAAAAATGTACCCGGGCTCCTCTGCCAACAAGGTTGCTAAAAATACTACTACAGCAAAAGCTGAAATATTTGCAGAGAAAAGTGAATTCTCTGCTACCCCCTCCCCTCTACCCAAATGGGTAAAATCCTGACCTAAGAAACCCCCAGATCAGCTCTGCCAAAGGCACAAACCTCCTACTTTCCACCTTTCCTCATTATAGAGTCCCTGTGGGCTTGAGCTGGGATGTTATGTTCAGAAAGTGCCCACTCCAAAGAGGGGAAGCCACAGTATTGGCAAATAGATTGTCACATGTCTTGGCTTTCCTCTCTGCTTACTAGGACCAAACCTCTCCCAATACCCTGTCTGTCCCAAGAAGGATCTGTATTGAACCACAGAGCTTCACACTCATCCATCTTTTATGCTCTCTTTTGTCTAACCATTGCCTCTTTGCCTGCCTTGGCTTCTGTTCTCTCCGCCTCTACCTCCACGCTCCCTGCTGCCTCCAGCCCATGACACTGACATGCCCCAGCTCCCTTGCTAACCCAGCCCTTCTAGAGCTCATCTCCTTCCCAGACCTGTAGCCCTTTTCCTTGAGGAGTTGTTGGGCTGGGTGATGTAGAGGTTTTGACATTAGAAACATAAAGGAGGACTACGGGGTTGAGCTGGTTAATAGCTAAAACTCTGTCCTGGACCAGGCAGGCCAGCACAGGGAGCACCACCTGGCATTGCTCTCCCAAGGCCCAGAGCCTTGAAGAGGCAGGCTCAGCAATCCCATACTGCACCTGTCCCATTTCCTGGCTTAGTTATTCAAGAATCACAGCTCAAAATCCCACCAGCTCACCTGTTCACAAAGTCCATCTAGCTCATCCAGAAAGGGGACCTCTTACCATGCTTACTGTGTCCTCTGGCCCCCAGGCAGTGAAGGGATCCAAGCTGAGGAGTCATTGGGTGTCATTGTGTGACTAGCTGTTCAGGGTGTGTCTCTGTGACTGTGTGGACACTGTGCATCTGCACCTTTGGGTCTATGTGTATGTGTCAGTTGCCTCTCAGTGTTTTGAGTTTGGGTCTGTCTTTTTCAGATCTTTGCCTTTCTGTCTTTTCCTCACCTCAGAGCCTGCCCATCCCCCAGGGCAAGCACTGTGGCCAGTTCTGCGTAGGCGCCTCAAGTGGGCAGTTGCTGAAATGGTTGTTTCTCAGAGGAAACTGGCAGTTGCTTTATCTGTTCTCTAATGGGTCCGCCAGTATTGAAAGACACCTTCACCCCACACAAAGGTGTCTTTCAGGAAGAAAGAAGGGCTGTGCTGTCTGTGTGGGAGTTTGGAGGTGTTGTTGTAAAGCTACCCCCCACCTTCAGCTCTGACCAGCAGGAAGAAAGGCCCAGAGGCAGCACAGCCTGCAGAGGGATGTTGCCTAGCAACTTGGGAGATTTTGCTGCAAACTCACCAAATCCCAAATTTCTCTGCTCTGATTTGGGAAGGGAAAAGCACAGAGTCCAGGCCTGATAGCCTCTCTACCCCTCAATTTCCTCATTCCCACTCCCCTCTGGATTCTGAAGTAGAAGTCCAGAGAGAACTGGCACAACCTAAGGCTCCAGATGTGCCCATGATGTAGGCAAGGGCCTGAGCTCCCAGGACATCCTGGCATTTGGTGGAGGTGGGGGATGGAGGATGTGCCAGAGACAGATTGGGGAACAGATTTTCAGTTACAGGGGTGGGTGGGTCTCAAACATGCTGGGAGAGACACCCCTGCACCCCAAGCTCTGGAATCCCAGCCAGTCCCCAGCTCAACTCAGGGCCCCAAGTTGACTACCTTGTCCTTGCCCTGAATGGACACTGGAATTTCCCTTGCAAACGTTTTCCCTTTGGCAAGGAAAGCCTCTGGCCCAAACATTTGGGTGCCATGGAAGCATGTAACAGCCACAATGTGACTGGACACAGTGGTTTTAGATTCCCTGCAGGGCTATTTCAGGGTCCCCTGTGCCAGTCAGAGCCACAGGGCATTTCCCCTTCCTCTGCCCTGACCAGCCAGAATTTCCTAGCCTCTCCCTCTCCCCTGGGACCTTAGCTAAGAACGACTTTGTCATTTTCTCAGAGATGGTCCACCCTACCCACAAAACACCACACTGCCCACTCTGGCACCCTGGCAACCTGGGAGAGGTTGGTGCCCACAAAAGTGGTGAGTTGCCCCTCCCAGATGCTCCTTCCCTATCTCTCCTTCCCAGCTTCTCCCAAAGCCCACATCCTTCCTCACCATGGACCCAAAGGGCCAATTATTTTTGATAATTCCCAACACTGCTTGGTTACAGGCTATTTTTCTTCTTCCAAAGATCAGCGGGTGAGAGTGGCTAAATTTTGCCTTATTTTGAGGCTGTGGCTCACAGGCGAGCGAGAGTCTGATATGAGGAGTGGAAAGGGAGTGAGGTGTGTCTCCTAACCCTGTACCGTAAACACCTACAACACCTATGTGTTGTGCATACATGATTCTGTCTGGTGCAAGGCAGGGAGGCAGACAGACAGAGGGTAGGATAGAGATAGATAAGACCTGACATGTTTGCTGCATGTTCGTAGGGTGATGGCACGTGTGTGTGTGCATGTGAACAAACATGTGTGTGTTTTGGGTGTACCCAAAACACAGGATGTCTACATTTACCTGCATCTGTCCAGGTGTGTGTACAAGGTCTGTGTAGTTGTTTTTGCAGGTTGCACCTGCAGTGTACGTACACTGGAGGAAAGGCACGTTTCAGGGAGCCTGGGGAATAACATATGTGGACATGTGGAGCGTGTGAGCCTTTGTGGTGATGTGTGCCCACCACCAGGTTGTGTACCAACAGCTCTCTCCATTCCACGGCAGGCACGAGGATAGGACCCCCTCCCCCGCCCCAGTCTTCGGGAGCCTATCTTTGCGGACTGAAGAGGAGGAAAGTTAGAGGGAGCCATATTCAGACTCCAGGTAGGTAGGTTGTGGAAGTGTAGGGAGGAGGGTGGGAGTTCGTGGTTTTCTGTGGGCGGCAGGGCATGCTGTGCCCAGATGTGAATGTGTTTGTGCCCTGGATGTCGGGGCCTCTTCTGCCTACTCCGGCAAGCATCTGCCTGGCTGTCTGCCGCTTAACTAGCAACGGCATTGAATTTGGGAGGATGGGATGTGTAGGAGGAATGGATGGAAGTGTGTAGGCGAAGGGGTTGGGGCAGGAGGGGGAGGGAGGGGGGGGGTCCTCCCCAGCTCGCCCCGCCCACCCTGCGAAAGGCCCCTTCTGATTGGCCTCCCGGACGCAGGGCTCAGGTTACATTCGCAAGCGGAGCAGAGCGCGGGAGACCGGACCGAGGGGAGAGCCGCTGGTTCTGCTCGGGTCGGCGGGCGCCCCGCAGCCCCGGAGCCGCCACCCAGCAGCATCACACAGACCCCACCCCCGCCAGCGCCAGGCTCCACCCCAGCCCAGGACCCTCATCACTAGCATGGACTGCTGCACTGTAAGTTAAAGGGCCTGGGGGACCCGCACCGGCTTGGTCTGGAACAAGGGGCGCCGGCGAAGCCCTTAAGCGAGGAATGGAAGCGGGTGGGAAGAGCTAGGGGCCATAAGGGATCCTGCTGAAACGTGGATGACGGTGGTGGCAGGCACCTGCCTGACTTGAAAGCCCTAGGAAAAATTCTGCCTGACCCGCGGGGCTCTCCGCCGGGCTGTCTAGGATGGACCCAGAGCTAGGCAGGGCTTTACCACAGGGACGCTCCAGGTTAGACGAGAGGAGGAACTTGCCCCAGTGAGAGGCCCTGGAAACCGTGGCCACACGGAGCTGCAGCTTCTCCTTTCCCCTGGCACTTGGCCCCCACCCCATTTCCTATCCCACCGCTGCCGCCGCCGTCGGTGGGCGGACAGGCTGATCTCCACGACCCTCTGGCCGTCGTCTAAGCCCTGTACAGCCCAGGCGGGAGTGAGCGATTCATTTTGGTCTTAGTAGTGGTGATGAGCAGCAAGGAGCCCAGTCGGTATGGTTTGGCGGACGGGTTGGCTCGGCCCCCAACGCCTCCTGGCTCCGGATGGGACTGGGTGAAGTGACCGGGAGAGATCCCTGCTGGCGAGAGAAGGAAGCGTCTGCAGTTTGTCAGCGCCCACTTGGAGCCTGCATGCTGCCAGTGCCTGGCCAAAGTGTACTAGGTTGCTGCTAAGGTGACTCGGTAAGAAAGTGCCTGGCACGGGACTGGCCCCTGGCTCTCAGGGATCATGAGTATATAAAATGTGTTTATTTTTAGCCCCCAAGTACAGAGAAAGACTATTCCAAAGCCCTCCTGTTTTCTCAGTCATTTGGTCAACCCGGCTAAAGATACAAAAGGTTGTGGGGCTTTTCCAGCCTCCAGCCTACGGTGTGAAAAAGACAAAAAGGAAACAAGCAGTATAGCTTAGGAGGAAAGGATAGCCCAGTTCTGTAAAAGGTGAGCTTTCTTGATATCTAGGTACCAAGAGGCAGAGAGAACTTAGGAGCAAGTCATTGTTGTTGTGCTTTTAATTCTTACCGGTACCAGTTAATAGCTGCTCACCATGAACCTAGCACTTTAATCATCACAACAACTCTGTAAAGTAGGTATTATTTCATAGATGTGTAAACTGAGTTTTAGAGAAATTAAGTGATTCTTCCCCAGAGGCACTACTTCTAAGTGTGGAGGCAGGATTCAAGCATAGCCCTGTGTGATTCAAACAGCTGTACTTTAACCTTTTCTCCAAATAGCTTTTTCTCATTATAAAATGTGCTCATAATAGTGAATGTAAAGACTAGAGAAAGCAAAACAAAACAAACAAACAAAAAAAACAACCACATATAATCCCACTCCCTGAAAAATAACTCTGATAACAAACCTCTTTCCAGTCTTTTTCCCCTTTCCTGTTATTTTCCAGGAAGCTATTTTCTAAATTTATTTTTATGTATTTATGCTGGGGATTTAACCTAGGACCTAGTGCACACTAGCCACGTGCTCTCCCAATGACCTATGTCCCCAGCTGAGGAAACAATTTTTGGTTATGAAAAGAGAAATGGGGGTTTCTGGACTCCACTAAGGAAGAGCCCCTCACCACCAGCAGTGTCAGTTAAAGAAAATGGACAGTGGATTCTGAGTCATGGGTCAGGGGTGAGGGTGGTGATGCTGAGCAGAAAGGATTAAGGTGAGAAGATAAGAATGATGGGGAAGGGGAAGGAGGAGGCATCATGGTCATTGGAAAGAGATGAGTGAGCAAAGAATCCAAGAAGCCAAAGAAGAATCTAACCTGCCTCCTGTGGTGCCTGCAGAAGTAATGAAGGTAGGATGTAGGCGCCCTGTCTGCCAGCCCTGGTCTACCCTGGATGGTGTTGGGGAGTGGCCCGAAAGACACTAGTACAGGTCAAATAGATAGATAAATAGGTAACAGATGATGGGGTGTTGACAGCTAACAGCTGAGGGACTTGTAGAGATGGTTGGATGCAGTGTCCCTTAAAAAAGGAGACTACCAGTTCAAAAAGTATGGAGGAAGCAATTACACGATTACCCCAGTAACCCAGGGCCATAGGCATCTCCAGTGCACCAGGTACACAGGAGCTTTCCTTTTTCATGATCTATAGGCCCAAAGGGCTGAACAAGAGAGAGCACCATCTCAGACTGTGCAGAGGAGGGCAAAAAGAGGGAGATAGAGGGATAAGGGCAAGGCTGGGTCCAGACTTTGTCCTGTCCATTCCGTGCAGGGCTGGACTAAGCACTGGTAGGGAGCTGGGACACAGAGCGAACAGCGTGCTGCTGCCTCTTTCATTCTGGGGTTCTCTTAGATGACCACCTGGTGTTTGGGGATAATCTAGTCCAGCCTTATTCCCTTCTTTCCCCTTGGTGAGGAAGCTTAGACAGAAATGACGAAGGAAACAGATCTGCTTTTTCTAAGACTGTTTTGTTTCTGGTGGTGGCAGTGGTGGTGGTGGTGTTTTTTGCGGTGCTAGAGATCAAACCAAGGGCTTATGCATGCCAGGCAAGCATTCTACCACTGAGCTACAACCCCAGGCTGAGGGTGGTTTTTTAATCAGAGCTGTTGGTGCACGTTTGGTTGCTGTTTTACACAGCCACAATATGACTTTGCTACATTGATTTAATATGAAAAAGCCAAGGAACTTTTGTTTTATCCTCTTTCTTTTGCTTGGTCTAGTTGACTTGGTTTAGCTGAATGCATAGAAATAATTGCCTGCCCTGAAGCAGTCTGTTCAAACTTGGGGAAGTTATAAAACATCTCTGAGGCTGTTTCTTGTTTTCTAAAATGGAGATTAAATAAGGTAAAGTGTGCAAAGTGCTCAATAAAGAGCCTAACACATAATGGGCAGCAGGTAGCCTTAATTCTTAAAGCTGTTAGGATTTGTGAGCTAAAAGACACTTTACTCATCTATGCCTAGACGGGAGTAGAGCAGTGGCTCCTGCTTTCCAGACCAGTGTGCTTTCCACATCCCCTCTGCTTCCAGACGTCCCCCAGTTCATGCAGAGCTCTCAGGTACAACCATCAGTCTTGGCGTTGGAAGACACCAGCCAGGCACCTTGACTAAGGAGCCCCTTTCTGGATTCCTTTCACTCTCCTTCAGCTCTGCCTGTGGACAGGCTGCCTAGCAGCTCTGTCCTCAGGACCCAGCCAGAGGGAGAGGGAGCTGACTGTGGGGAGGAACAGCCAGTTGGGAGTGTCCTTGCCTGTTGTCCCAGGTTTCCATTCTGGAGACAGCTGGGGTGCATGAAGACAGCAGGTAGGGCCTTAACATAGTTGGGAGAAGACACCCCTTCCTCAGCTCAGCCTCCCCACACCTCCATAGCTGCAACCCCAAGGAGGAGAGGTGAGGCAGAAATTTTTTTTATGGCTGTTGCCCTCTTTTGAGAAGCTTCACTGTTCCCTGAGACTAATCCCAAGAAAGACTTAGGCTCTGAGAATCAAAGAACGTAAGGGAGTTGGTTGGGTTTTAGGTGAAGAATAAGATGTCAGGGAGACCTCTAGACCTGGGAAGAGCAAAAAGGGTGTTTGGGTCCATTCCCACCCGCACCAGCCTCTTGGTAAGTCCCTGTGACTGTGTCTAAATTGATAGGGGGCATCTTGAGAACAGACTGAAAAACTGGGAAGCCCAGGAAATGAGGACAGCCTGAGGAAACATGGTGAGGGAAGTATTTGTAAACCTGGCTTACGCATCTGGATTTAAACCTGTGCTCCTGGGGCAAATGTGGATGGGAAGAGGATCACTAAAGCCGGGCATGGCGGCACATGCCTGTAATCCCAGCACTAGGGAGGCTGAGGCAGGAGGATCACAGTGAGCTTGAGGCCAGCCTGGGCTACATAGTGAGTTTGATGCCAACTTGAACTACATAGCAAGACACTGTTTCAAAGAAAAAAGAGGATCACTAAAGGCTCACTCAGACCCTGTCCAATTCTGACAAGTGTACAGCTGATGGCCAGGAGAAGGTAAGAGTAGAACTGAATCATCAGACTTTAGTCATCTTATATTGAGAAGAAAAAGCCAGTGAAACAATGGACATCCTCAGCCAAGAAATGAGGGCAGCCAAGTGTGGGGGCCCAAGCCTGTAATCTCAGCTACCTGGAGGGCTCAGGTAGGAGGAGCAAAATGTCAAGGCCAGCCTGGGCAATTAGTGAGACTCTGTCTCCAAATAAAAAATACAAAAAGAAGTCAGGCATGGTGGCACATGCCTGTAGTCCCAGCATTTGGGAGGCTGTGGCAGGAGGGTCACTGTGAGTTTGAGGCCCACCTGGGCTACATAGTAAGTTCAAGTCCAGCCTGGACTACATAGCAAGTTCCTATCTCAAACAAACAAAAATAGTTGGAGATGTAGCTCAGTGGGAAGGTCTTAGGTTCATACTCAATACCATGGAAGGAAGGAATGGAGGGAGGGAAAAAGAAAGAAAGGAAATAAAAGCAAATTCCTAGAGGCCAAAGGCCCAAGACCAAAGGAACAATGCCCATCTAACTTCATAATAACCACCCTTATCCCAATCCACACTGATATTGTAAGTAATGTTAAACTACAAAGAGGGCCAGGGGCTGAGACCCTCTATTCCAGAGCCTGGCCGCTGAAATCAGTACCATCAATTCCCTAATCCATTGTACTCTCAGCTGGGGCATGCTGTCTGACACATACACGAGTGGATCTGATCATGGTCACACATTCCTTAATGATGAGGATATGTTCTAAGACATGTGTCCTTAGGCTGCGCGTGGTAATGCACACCTGTAATCCTAGCACTTGGGAGGCTTAGGCAGGAGAATACCTGCAAGTTCAAAGCCAGCCTGGACTACATAGTGAGTTCAAGATCAGCCTGGACACAGCAAGACTGTCTCCAAAAACACTAGGCATTTATTGAGAACATAACAATGTAGCTACACAAAATGAGATGACTATGACAACTCTAGGTGATCTAATCTGATGGGGCCATCCTTATATACCTGTCATTGATCAAATCATTATGAGGTACATGACTATTACTGGGTCAAATTATATGAAACTCATCATGTGGACACTTTTGGTCTACAGAGGCAACTGTTTTGATCAACTTAATAGTATATAAAACCATCATATAGCTACCATTTATTGAGCAACTAGATTGTGCCAGAAACTTTGTGCACATCATGCTAATTTCTTCCCCACAATCCATAGATATCATTATACTTATTTTTCAGACAAAGAAGATAAGATAGGGAAAGATTACATAACTTGGCCAAGAACACAGAGTTACAGCAAGGGGTAGAGCCTTGGTTTGTTTCCTGGACTGCATGTGCTTATTCTACTGAGTAGGGGTTAAAAATATACTCTGAGGTCTAATATACAAAGGTTTGAATCTTTAGTCCACTGATAACCGTCTGTACATCCTCATAGGTTTTTTTAAGCATTCCAGTCCGTTTTATCATGGTAAACTAAGATACTATTAAAAGGGTATGTCATCACTTTATTGTTGAGGATTAAATAAAATGTCTGTAAAACACTACGTCAGTGCACCTGGAACAAAATAAGTGCTTAAATGGTAGCTAATGTCCTAATTCGTTTCTTCCCATGAGCACAAGGAAAGGGCTTCTTGCTCTGCTGTTCATTTCCTTGTCTTTTTTTTTTTTTTGGTTTTGGTTTTGGTTTTTGGTACCGGGGATCAAACTCAGGTCCTTGGGCTTGCGTAGCAGGCATCGAAACCACTGAGCTAAATAAATCCCCGGCCCAACATCTTTCTTTCTTTTTTAAATCACATTTTCTTCAGACTGTCTCCTCTCTTCTGTTTTTGGTTCAACCTGGAGAACAGTAGGAAATAAGAGGGTCCATGAGAAAACAGTCTCCAGACCTCTGGCCCCCAGTGGGGTTGGCTGACTCCGTGAGCGGTGGCCTCATCCTCTTCCTAGTTCCAGTAATGAGCTCCGGTGCAGGTGCAGATCTACCCCGGAAGAGGCTGTCCTGCTGAGTTTTCTGCACCCTCTCCGTGGAGAATCCTGGAGTGGGACGGGACCCTTCTGAGATAGAGGCACCCTCTGCAAGCAGGGGGATGGGTGGCCACATCCAGAGTGCCTGCTGCCTAATCTCACCCTCTGCTTAACCCTGCAGCTTGCCTACTGGTAATGGCTACTAATAGGGCTGTTCGGTGTCTTGTATTCCGTCCCACCATTCACCTCTCTTTCTTGAGTTGGCTAAACAGTTGCATCCACCTGGCCCTGACCCTCTTTACCTGCTGCTAGCCCGGAGGAAACACACACACACACACACACACACACACACACACACGCAGATGGGCGCAGCTCCCTCACCTCCCAACGGTGTTGTCCCGTCTCAATCCCCTAGAGCTCTAGTCCTAACCTAACCCCGCGGGAGTCTCCACCCAGTCACCTCACAAGAACCTCCCTGCCCTCCCCAGGAAAGCGCCTGCTCCAAGCCGGAAGACGACATTCTAGACATCCCGCTGGACGATCCTGGTGCCAATGCGGCCGCTGCCAAAATCCAGGCGAGTTTCCGGGGCCACATGGCGCGGAAGAAGATAAAGAGTGGAGAGCGCAGCCGGAAGGGCCCGGGCCTCGGGGGACCAGGCGGAGCTGGGGGCGCCCGGGTTGGCGCGGGCGGCGGCCCCAGCGGTGACTAGGCCAGGTGAGGTCGGCGGGCGGGCTGGGTGGGCTCTGGTTTCCCAGCTTTCCACTGAAGGAAAGGGAAGACTTAGGACGGGCTGAAGGTGCAGAAGAGTGTAGATGGACCTATGGGTGGAGGACCAGGACCGAGACTGGTGGGTGGAAAGAGAGTAGGGGTGAGGCGGATCCCAGGAGCTCACCTGTTTTTCCCTCTCCACCTTCCCCCTTTTGCCCCGCCCTGGACCGAAGACCCGAACATTTTCGAAGGTAACGAATCCCATCCCGAAGCAGCGAGGGTGGGAGATGGTAGGAGGGCGAAGAGGAAGAGTTCCCCGGCCTCTGTCCACCCCACCCCCTCCTAGGCGGGGCAAACGCACCTGCAGGGTTTCAGATGCATGCAGAAGCCCGAGGCTGCGACAGGGACACACCTGGACCAACTCAGAAATGCAACCGCCCTCATTTGGCTGCTCGGGGGGCCGGCCCGCCCGAGGGCCGAGCACACTATGGCTCGCTCACGTACCCTCCGCGGGCTCGCCGCACCTCAGTGACTCGGCTGGGGTGACTGGAGGCCCTGAACTCCCGGCCCTGGCGCTCTGTTCGGAAAGGGAGACCTGGCCTAGGGGAGGTGAGGGCCAGGGGAGGACGGGCTCTCAGACCTTCTCTCTCCTCAGTTCCCGAGGAGAGATGGATGCCGCGTCCCCTTCGCAGTGACGAGACTTTCCTACAGTGTTGTGACCCCCTCTTTGCCATCAACCTGCCAGCTTCAGGAGCCCCCTGCTTCCCAGAGACTTCCTCTGCTCAGGCAGGCTTCGTCGCGGAGTTGCCAAGTCCGTGCCCTTTTAGTTAGAGCTCCAGTCTAACGTGGTCCCCCTTCGCACTCCCTCCCCACCCTACCCCCCAACCCCGCGCTCCCAAATTTCCCTTTCGCTTCTCTCCCACCTCTCCCTGCACCCAGCATGCAGCTCTGCCTCCGCAGCCTCGGTGCACTTCCCTGCGCCCACTGCGGAGGGCGCCCTGAGTGTCGCCCGAGTTCACTCACTTGAAAAGGAAAAAAAAAAAGTCCTTTTGTTCTGCGCGCAGCGAAAGGGGACGCCCTGCGTCTCTGTGTGGTTCCCGACCTAGGCTGGCCCCAGAACTTTAGATCTGGAGCAAACAAAGAGGATTTTCATGCTGTCGGACGCCCTGTGCTCTGATCATCGGAAGGGAAGTCCCTATCCTGCACCTGCCTGTTGTCTCCCCGTCCTGACCCTCGGCGCACCCCAAGGGCAGCCTCTCCAGCTCTCCAGTTGTTTATGGAAACTCCGAGCGCCTGGAGGCTCGATAGGGGGAGCCTTCCACGGGCCCGTCCCTGCCCCTCGTCCCCGCCGGCCCTGCCCCGCGGGGCTCCTGGGGCTGTGGCCGGAAGGTTTTTAAACTCCGTGTGTGCATGTGACTGTGCTGGGTTGGAATGTGAACAATAAAGAGGAATGTCCAAGTGTTCAGAGGGTGCTGGAGGGGCGGGAGGACCAGGTCACCTTCTGTTGCTTAAATCTCATTTGATAAAACTGCCTAGGGGAAGGAGGTTAGGTGGAGTGGCATCTGAGTTGAAACTTATTTCTTTGACCCAGCCAGCCTTCCTGCCTGCGTACAATGTAACCTCTGAGACTTCATATACATTCCTTCCCTTAACGGGATTTCTGGATTGCAGGAGGAATTGACCGTTTTGATAGAAAAAAATGGAACAAAATGATACCCAAAGACTTTACTTATTGGTATCCCTCATCCTCCTCAGGGATGGGGAGCAGATACAATCATAGGGAGCTTGGACTTGGTGGTCGTCGTAGTGCTGGCAGACTTGGTGGTTGTCACAGTGCTGGCAGACGGGGACCTCTCCAAGAGGCCTTTCCTAGAACTGGCCTTCGGAGAGGCCTGTTCAGAAATCCCAGGAGCCACAGCGTCCTCCCTGATGGAGACAGACAAATTTTTACTGCAGACAGACTCACACTTCAGAGGATGGCTATGGTCTATTCCAGGGATTTTAAAATTTTACTGTACATGAAAATCATCCTTGGAACTTGGGTTAAAATAGATTCCATGACCCATGTCCCAGACACACACCCCGATTCTGCTGTACAAGAGGTACAAGGAGTGGCCCAAATCTGAATGTTTAACAAGTTCCTGGTGATTTTCTGTCTAGATATAATGAGGATCACACTTTTTTTTTTCTTTTTAAAATATTGCTCTGATTAAGACTGCAGGTCTTGCAGCTAAAGTGGATGACAGGCATCTTTGGCCTCCTTTCCTGATTGCCCCACACAGAACTAAACTCAGCAGAGTAATCAGGACAAATACAACTCCTTTATTTCCAAATGGGTAACTGTGCTTTAAAAATTGAGAAAGTAGGGGCTGGGGATTTAGCTCAGTGGTACTGTGCCTGCCTCAAAAGTGCAAGGTCCTGAGTTTGATCCCTGGTACCAAAAAAAAAAATTTAGAAAATAGCCAGATGTGGTGGCGCATGCCTGTAATCTCAGCACTTGGGAGGCTAAAGCAAGAGGCAACTTTGAGGCCAGCCTGGGCTACATAGTTCAAGGCTGGCCTGAAGTAACTACATGGAGAGAACCCTATCTCAAAAAAGCTGAGAAAGCAAACATTTTAAGTGTGAGTAAGTTCAGAGCAGTCCTGCAAACCAAGCCACCCCTGCCCAACCCCTCCGCCCTGTGTACCTTGCTTACACATTCAATAGGTTGTGCTGCCCCTGCCACCACCAAAAGCTAAGCAGCACTCTACCCTCAATGCTTCTCATAGTGTCAGGATTTGAAGGCTGACAGCACCTACTTTGAACCCAAGCCTATTTCTCCCTCTGCACCACCTCCTAACCCTCCTGCTCACCGAAGGTCACTACCCCTATATGTCTCCTTGGGTGTCTTCTTCCTCTCTTTCTGGAACCTGATCAGGCAGAACACAGCGACTGACAGCAGCAACACACCCAGAAGCACCCCAATCAGTGCCCCAGCCACTCGGCCTTCAGAGGGACCTAAGGACACACAGGACTTTCAGAGTTGCAGAACTTCGTTGGCCCTCCCTCAAACAGGTTCATGCAGCCACCCTGAGCCAAGCCTTCCAGCCAGGCCTCTTCCCAACATCCCCTACCGGTCACGGAGATGGTCAGCTCACAGGATGCAGTGCCCATCTGGTTGGTGGCCACACATCTGTAGGTGCCCGAGGAAGTCGAGGAGAGATTGGTAAGAATGAGCTGGCCAGACACTTCATCTAGAGGATGAAGAGGAAGTGTGGTATCGCTCACTCAACTCACAGTGAGAAAGTACAATTCCTTTCATACCTACAACAATCCTGCCAAAGGGGGCCTCGCCTCATTCAACTGGTGGGAAAACTGCCATAGAGAAAGCAATTTGTCTGAAATGATCCAGAGAGTAATTCCAAAGCCACTGCCACTTCTGCGTTTTTTCCACCCCCACATAACTGCCTTTTCAGGAGTTGGGGAACTGCATACATGAAGGCCATACAATTGGGGGTGACATACCTATTAGCTGGGGTCAGGTTCCTTGTTGGGGATAAAAAGCTTGATTGCTAAAAAAAAAAACAACTCTGGAGTACCTCTGAGCTGACTAGAGTGTTTCTACAAACTCTGACTTTCCTTGAGAAGGCAGAGCACATATCAGGAAGTAATCCAAGGGAGGGGGGTCTGGATATAGAGAGATATATATATATATATTGATATAGAGATTTTCTGGGGCTACAGGGAGAGATAGGGCAGCTGGAGCTAACAAAAAGAAGCCAAGAAGCTGAGGCTCTTAGGTATTTGACTCCTGCAAAGAAACCAGCAAGATGACTCCAGCCAGTCCATGCTATTCTGCCTCAGTTTCTTCAGGAAGTCTGGAAATGATTCATAAACCTTAAGAAATTAAAAGGAATCCTCCAAAAGTAAACAAGTAGAAATCTTAAGAATGTCCCCCACCCTCTGCATTTTCAGGATTTCAGGAGGATATTACTTCAGAAATGTTCCCAGGGGCTAGGCGTGGTGGTGCATGCCTGTAATCCCAGCACTTAGGAGGCTGAGGCAGGAGGATCCCTGAGTTGAAGGCCAGCCTGGACTATACACAGTAAGTTCAAGACCAGCCTAAACTACATAGGAAGACGCTGTCTCAAAAAAAAAAAGCAAAAGCAATGCTCCCAGGAACCCAGTCATAGGCTGTGCATGAAGAAAGAAAGAGCCGTACAAAGAAGAGGTGGGGAAAAAGTGGTTTGTCTCATACCCTGGTCATGGAACTTGTAATGTGTAATATGAGGGTTAGAGACCGGATTTGCTCAGTCTCTAGGCCCCTCTTTCTGATGCCGTGGGTCCTTACCTTGAACCATGCTGCCAGGAGAAGGTGTAGGAAAAGATCCAAGGCGGACCCAGCTGTACACTGGCTTGGGAGCTCCCTGGGAAGAGCTGCATCTCAGTGTCACAGAGCCTCCTACAAAAGTTGTCCCACTCTGACTGCACGAGGGGCTACTGGGGGGCACTGCAAAAATCATACAAGTATCAGAAATCTTCTGGGCCGGGGATGGGGATTTAGCTCAGTGGTTTCGCTGCCTGCTGCACAAGTACAAGGACCCGAGTTCGATCCCCGGTACCAAAAAAAAGAGAACTCTTCTAACCCCGTACCCATTGAGTGCCTGCGCTTCCTGCCTCAATACACTGCTAAACAGTGGCCCACTTCTCTCCACTACCACATCCCCAGGAAGTGATTTCCACTATTGGAAATTCTGATTGTTAGAAGTCTTCCTCAGGTTGAGCCAAAATCTGTGTTAATATGATATCCACCCATTGGCTCCAGTTCCTGTCCTCTGAGCCCACAAAGAAAAATCAAAATCTCTCCTCCATATGACAAAGCCCTTTAGATATCTGCACGTAGCAGTCACATGCCACATCCCAGTTCTTGTTTTTTTATCTAAATGTCTTTGGCCGCTTTAGTATCTTTTTCTGGTTGCCTACTTCTAAGCAGGCTGATTTAGGGTGAGATGGAAGCTCTGAACAAAATCTGTTGCTCAATGATGGGGGCTTAGTTCCTTTATCGTCTCTTTCTTTTTCTTTTTTTTTGACACAGGGTCTCATTTTGTAGTTCAGGCTGGCCCTAAACTCACTATGTAGCCCAGCCTGGCCTCAAACTCACAGTGATTGTCCTGCCTCAGCCTCCAGAGTACTGGGATTACAGGCATGCACCATCATGCCTGGCTGGCCCTTAGTACCTTTAATGGCCACTTCTCTTCTCAGCCAGAGGTTAGGGGGGACAGAAAACAAATTCAGCTACAAAAGGGAGTTTCCTCCCTAGTGGAGCTGGTGGGGGCGGGCTCATATCCCCATATGTGGGAAGGGCTTCCTCTCTCAGGCCCTAAGGGAGGAGACATTGTGTAGAGCTGGAGTGTGACCATCTAGATTAGAAGTTTTGAGAAGTGCAGAGTTTTTTCTTGAGGTCACCGGGGCAGTTGTGCCCTTCGGTGGAGATCAAGACTTGGGGAGATTTAAATGGCCCAGTATACACTTTCAGCATATGTAGGTGGCTAGTGGATCCCCTGACACCTTACCCAGCACAGTAAGGTTGATTAGTCCCAGACCATTGGTGTAGAAATCCGGAGGGTTGTTAACCTGACAGAGATAGGTTCCGGTATCTGAGGGGCGGACATCCATCAGTTTCAGGGTGGCCACCCCTCCTGTGGGGGGATTCTGGAGCAGGTTGGCCCGCTCTGCCTGGGAACCAGTAGGATACAGGTGGCCACTGGTGAAGTACAGGATCTGGGAAAAGGCAGAAGACACACCTGTGTCACCCTTTCTCCCTGACCACAACTCTACAGTCCTACTTGGAAGTGCAAATGAGTCCCCTCACTTAGCCAGTGAAGTTGATTATCTTGAACCATGAAGGGATAACACAGCACCATATCAAATGCAGCACTTCAGTGTCAGTGAGTTTAGGAACTGAAACTGGGGCTTCACTAACAAAGGAGTTGGGCGTAGGAATTATGGAAGAGAAAAGGATGAAACAGGGCCACATAGACTGCAGCCCTGAGAAGACCTAGGAAGAGCCTACTTGTTTTTTCCCAGCTGATTCCCAGATGCCACCCCACTCCCATTCACGCCCTCATCCTGGGCAAGCCCTCCATTCCTTGCCAGCCCCCCTGCACACAGTTGCCCTCAGCTTACAGGATGCGATGCAGAGATGGGCTTCCCAGGCTGCACAAAGCTCCACTCCAGGGCGAAGTTGTCCCCCACGGATGTGCTATAGCTGCAGACCAGCTCGGCAGTCTTGCCTACCGGCACACTCAGCGGCTCTGTGGGCACCTTCACTTCCACGGCCAGCCCTGGGGCTGAGGATGCAGAGGGAGATCTGGACCCCAGTCCCCATGAACTGGAGGTTCCCACTCTCACAGCATCTAAACCAGAAGCTAAAAGCTTCCTCCCCATGTGCCACCCCTTCCCCTTAATCCAGTCACTCCATCTCCAAGCCTGAGGTTTCCAGAGGGAAGGAAGAGCCCATAGCTGAGCTGGCTTTTGTGGGTAAAAGGGCCAAGACTGGGCCAGGTATGAGGATGTGTTGGTAGGAAAAGGAAACAATACTCCCTGGATAGAGAGGCCGAACTTGCCCAGCCCGCGTGCCTGCCTCTCTCCTCCTCCGCCCTCAGGCCCCCTCCTCACCCTCACCCCTTTCCTAGCCTCCTAGGCCCCTGCTGCTCGGGCAGCTCCAGTCCACTGGTGGGGACTGAGCAGATCCTAAGGACTCAGGGAAGCCAGACTCCTGCCCCCAGCTCTGGAGTAGGCCCACCCAGCCCAGCCCCTCCTCACCACTCAGGCTCAGGAAACGCAGCAGGGTCCCAAAGAGGAAAGGCCCAGGGAGCCAGGCCATGGCTGGCTAGCTCGGTGTGTTGGTCTCCGTGGGTGCCTGGGCCTGAGGAAGGGAAGGGAGTGCCCAAAGGGCAGCCTCTTTGTGCTGGGCAGGAGCTAGCCTGGCTATCTCAGAGCAAACAAGGGGAGAGGCTAGCACTCACAGGTAAGCAAATGCTCCTCCCTCCCCCAGGTCCAATTCTGGAGTCACTCTAGCCTGGCTTTCTTCTTACTTCCTCCTCCCTCCAAAGTCTGAAACTGTCAGGCCCCCCAGGGAAAAGGCTGGTCTTGGGGTGGGCACACTGGGGCAAAGTCCCAGAACTGGAGCTCCACAAGGAAAGTGTCTTTGGAGGAGGAGGAGTTTTTGATACCAAGAGCTAGAAATGACTCCACCACTTTGCCCCCCGGGGGTAAAGACCCCTTCAGTCACCTTCAGGGATTCCTGTCCCTTCCAAGCTGCTCTTTCACTACTTCCTGGGGTAGAAGTCTCCATGGAGACTATACCAACTCCCCATTCCCAGGTGTACCCCACTTGATGGGCAGAGAATCTGAGACCTAGAGATCTCCCACCTTTGGCAGGAAAGGACATGTTGGTATTCAGTCATAAACCTATACCACATCCTCTGCTCAACTCTACCTGGATATCAAGAGGGAGAAGATGTGTTTGTTAAGGTCTCTTCTCACCTGGCCTGGAGAGGAAGAAGAGACGAAGTTCAGGAACACCCAGCAGGAAGCACCAAAGCTCCAGCAGCAAGTGAGCAGCCAGTTTCACAGCCTTACTCTTCAGACTGTTTAGGCTGGGGTCCTAGCCTCAGACTCCTGCTGCTTCCCTTTTCCATGGGACAACAAATGGCCTTTCCAAGGACCCTAGAAGAGCCATCCTGAGCCAGCAAGCTCTGAGCTGTGAGGAAAAGCCCTCCTGAGCACAGAATGTGAGTAGGGTTCACTCACATCTTCCTGAAGCTCAACTACTAGGAATTCTCAGTTGGAAAAGGATATTTGATTTTTATTCCATACAAACACAATGTATCTTTATTGAAATTTGCGAAATAAAAACAAAAGCATTTCAAGTTAGTTTTAAAAATGCCTTTCCTGTCCTCTGCCCCAAGAAACCCAACCAGGCCAGCAGGACAGGTTACATTAATGCAAGGAGCTCTAGTGGCAGCAAAGGATGGTGTTAGATAGGGGTGAGGTACAGATCCTAGGAGGCTGGCAGTCTTCTCCAGGGCCCTTGGAGGTTAGCCAATCTCAGCAGCATTCAGCTGGCTTCATAAGGAGGAGCAGTGGCTCCCCCCAAACCCAGGTTTGCTTCCTCTTCTCCTTTGACCTCCTGGATATTTGGGTCTTACTGAGACCCAGTTTTCCCACAGTGAAGAGAGGTGAGGTCAGAGGACTGGGTTGTGCCCCCCCCCCCAGCCCAAGGCTCAGGTCTGTGTGCTAGGGCGAACCCTTACAGGAAGGTGAGACACCAGATGGTGAGTGTCTAAGCCATCACACCAGAGACCCATCCTGAGTCTGGGCAGGCACCATCACATTCACTGCACCCATGCGTCTCAGAGCAGAGCGGGATACCCCACCAGGGCTGAGGGACACTGGCTGAGGGTTAGTCCCATCAGTCTTGGGTAGACTTGGTGAAGGCAGGGTTTGAGTAGAGACACTAGGCGTGGGGGTCAGAGTGCCAGGCCTGGGAGGGGCATGAGACGCCCGGAGGGCTCGTGCTGAGGTGACAGAGGAAAGAGTTCCATTCTTGGAGAGTGTGTCTGAGCCCTTGGACCAGGTCAGAGTCCGGGGAGCAGTAGCATCCTCCCTAGTCATCAAAGAAGTAATAAGAGGTCAGAAGAAGGGAAAAGAAGGGGAGAGTTTCTACATGCTTTATCTTACTCCCTGCCTTCATATACACACTGCAACACTTCTCTTGCTCTCCCTTAAAATCTGCCCATAAGAATGCTATTTTGATTACTGTCCACCCTTCCATTAGACAGGAGCTGCCTGAATTCCCAGATTCTGAGGGCAGTTAGGAGACACCCCACACACACACCATCAAAGCAGAGCTAGGGAACACTTACTTGATATCATTGGCTACATCCTCTAGGACCTTGCCCTGGCGTTGCCGTTGGTACAAGAGGATCAGCCCAACCAGCAGCACCAATCCAACCAGAGTGCCCACAGCCGCTCCAGTGATCACTGCAGCTCTTGACCCTATAAAAACCTTGTTGTCAGAGGGGGGCACCCAGCTGATCTGCACTCCTCTCCAATCCCACTCCCCTACTGCTGCCATCCACGTTTTCTCTTCTCTGCCTAGATGGGCTGTCAAGCAGAAAATAGCCAGCCACTGACCAAACATTTGCACAAACTTTGATCAGGACAAGCTCCCTAGTCTTTTACTACGAGAAGCCTGCCAAACAGGCCTCCTCCCCTCCTGCAAAGCCACCCCCACCACTGACCGCTCTTCTTGACCACACTTACCCCTCACTAACCTGTGGTTACTTTCAGGGTCACATTGCAGCGAGCACTGCCCACTTCATTCTGGGCTGTGCAGAGGTAGATGCCAGACATGGAAGTGGAAAGGTTGGTGAGTTTTAAAGACCCACGGTTGTTATCTGTGGATACAATTTAGCCATCAGTCCAGGGAACTTCTTTCCCTTGTTGGGAAAAGAAAAAATCCTTCCCTTCTTCTGGAATGTCCTCTTTCACTCTCAGGGAGTCACCACTTCTCTGTTCCCTGCTGGAGGGGAAGGGGATGAGGGACTGTTTCCAGTTGCAGACCAGCTACCTCAATACCCCTCTCCACTTAAATTTCTATTTAAAAGAGAACAGGGTTTTATTATCAAAGTCGTCCAATGAGGTTTGGGCCTGAGTACAGGCTTAGCCATGTGCAAGGCCCTGGATCTAATTCCTAGAACCTGAAAATAACAAAACAAAGTCCTTTCCTAAAAAAGCAAGCAAACATACACAAAATGTCAAAGGAAAATAGAGGCATGAGCTAAAACTCTATATACCCACCAACTAGATCCAAAAGTTGCTAACATTTTGCCATATTTATTTCATCTCTCTAATGTTTAAAAGCATACCTCAGTGTGCATCTTCAAAAAATACGAACCCCATCCCACATATCCACAATATCATTGCTATACCTAAGAAATTGACGGCAATTCTCCAAAATCACCTAACACTTCATATTAAAAATTTTCCAGTTGTCTCTAAAAGATTTTTTATAGCTGATGTGTTCAAATCATGGCTATTGATAACCCATTTTACAAAGTTAGTGAGTGGCACAGCAGGACCTGAGCTCAGGCAGTCCAGCTCCAGAGCCTCTTTAGCAACAGTCTGTCTCATCCTCTTCCCCAGACCTTTTCAGCATACCTCCTCCTCCCACCCATCCTGTGGTACCACTTAGACCCCTTCTCCAGCCACAGCCTCAGGGTTTCCAGAAATTCCCTCACCTAAAACTGGTGGAAAGAAGACCTGGGGCAGTGGGGACAGCCGCTCCCACTGGTACTGAGCCGCAGGGTCGCTCCTCGGGGACTGGCAGCTCAGGGTCACATTGGCCCCTGCACGGGGCACACCCAGGAGTCTGCAGGCTGGAGTCGCTGGAGGAACTGGGGAAGGGAAAACAGGTTAAAACCCACACCCAAGAGACCCACAGACACTGCCTCTGTCACTCAATGTCCTGCCCCCAATTTTGGCCCCTTGGGAGGGAGGTGAACCTGAACTCTTGTGGGGTGGGGAGGGATCTGGAAGTGTGTGCTTCTCACTCACCCAGCACATTGAGTTCCACAGTTTTGCTGTCATGGCCCTTGTGTTGCACATTCACAGAGCAGCTGTAGGAGCCAGAGTCTTTTTTCTGGAGACCCTGCAGCCTCAGGGACACATTCCGAGAGGGCATGGCGTGGACCAGGGATACTCCAGGGTTGCTTGACACGGACCCGTTGATGTAGGCCAACACCTGGTGGGGGCAGGACAGCTTCTTGTTATTCCATGATGCCCTGTGTTCACAGTTCAGCCAGTCTCGCTCTCCTGAACTGGCCTTCTTCATGTGAGCCTCAGTGTTCACCCCTCTCCCCATCTATCTCTCACTGTGCCAAGGTATTGTTCCCTTAGGCACTGTCACTTGTCTCCCACTCGGGGCATTTAGAAGGGTGCATAAAAGAAGGGAAGACACAAGGGGAACTTAAGATTGCATAGTAGATCTAGGTTTTGTAGAGTTTGAAATTTATACAACTGGAAGGGGCATCTTTAACAAAACGAGGATGGAAACATCCTTTCACAAGAATCAAAGGACTTTATTGAACACATTTTCCAGGACATCGGAAGGAATCCATGCAAGTGAGGGGTTCTGAAAACTGCTTCACTGACTTCTGGGTAAACCAGAGTTTGAGTCTTGCTCAGAAAGGAGAAGAGGTGTGAGGTGTGGGAGGAAATGCCCTTTGGCTCTCCAGGTATAAAGGGGCAAGGTGAAAGGTGATAATCACCCCTGAAGAGTACCTGGTACTTGACAGTATCCAGAGCACAGAGAATGTGAGCAAAGAAACATGTTCGGCCTTTAAAAGTCATCTTAGGGCCGTAGATTTAGCTCAGTGGTTCTGCTGCCTGCCTCAGAAGCAGAAGGACCTGAGTTCAATCCCCGGTACCAAAAAAAAAAAAAGTCATCTTATTCAATGTAAGCTTTCCCTGTCCTCAATTCCCCAACCCCACCTCCACCACAGTAATGCCAGTGTCTCTGCTTTTATGTGTTTCTTTGTTTTTTGCCTCCCTCACACACAATGGGAGGACTGAACCTATGGCCTTCACACTAAGTTACACCCCATCCCTGTTTTTATCTTTTATACTGAGACTAAGTCTTGCCAAATTGCCTGGGCTGGGCTTGAACTTGTGGTCCTCCAAGCTCACCCTCATGGAGTGCTGGAATTACAGGCATGCACCACTACACCAACTCTTTACCAGTGTTTTGTGTGCTGGATTTCTAGGGGAAACTGGGGAAAAGAGAAGTCTTTTGGGGATGTCTTCCAGATGAAAAGACTGACACATGCTGTTCCCTTAAATTCGTTCTTGGTACTCCTATTCTCTGGCTGTCCCTCCCAACCTTACCAGCTCTTCCCTACACCCCAGCTGGGCTCCACTCACCACTCCTTGGGACACATTCCCCTTACCTGCTTTAGCTCCTTCTTCCCTTTCTGTTCCAGGAACCATATCACGAGCGGCACTTCCCATGGCTGGACCAAAAACTTTTCTCCTTCCAGAGTGTACCAGGTAGGGAGTACTATATCTGCTCCCTCTACCGCCCGCAATGTGGCGAGGCCAGCAGGCATGTGCACCTTCACCTGGGCCTTCAAGGGGTAAGCTGCAGACAGAGTGAGGTGTGAGCTTCCAATAGGGCGCCAAGGGCGAGGACAAACCTCACCGGTCTGGATACTTATCCTCTATACTCTCCCATTCTATGAATTTTATTTAATTTTTTATTAATTTTGTTAATGTAGCATAAGACTAAAGTAAGGCACTGAAAATGCCTTAGATGAGTTAAATTTATTCCATAAACATAAAGGTTTGGTTCCAGCTTTTTAAATAACTGTTAGCAAAATTAT